GGCAGAGCATCTGGTGGATTCGAACCGTTCGTATCATCATTGCCTCTTGATCATATGTTGTTTCTTGAAATTCTTCTGTGTCAGCCAATTCTTTTTGATACAATGATTGTATACTCCTTCCATCTTCTTTCAATGCTTCCTAAATCATTCAATATTCTGCCCATAGCATATATAACCATGTCCTGTGATTAGGGGGGTGGGGGGGGGGGTGGGCGGGGAATGTTCCCAGTTTGTTCCAACAGTCGCTGATGGAGGAAAGAATAATGTTCAGATGGAAAAAAAGATGTAATTTTTTCATCTAGATATAGATAAATAATTTTTAAAAAGGAAAAGAAACACAATTCAAATTCTATGAAGATCAGGCACCCACCAGGGCCTAGCCATTAGTTATGGATGCTGAGGATGATACTGCAAGCAGGAGAGGTGAGAACAAAAGCAGTTCTTCCTACTGCATGACTGACAGAGTTGACTTTGCAGGTCTCACACTCCAGACCTCAGAGGTTCTGGCCACTTCCACCCTGAGTAAGTCATCCCAGAAGCATTTCTGTCATTGGGCTAGCTGAGGTTTATGGGCCTCCCTGAGGGCTTCTTCACAGTCTTCCCATGGTTTCAGCTGGGGGCCAAGGATCATCACTGTCTTAAACACAAGTTGTTCAGGTGGTGTTCACTGGGGGACAATTCTGCCATGCCGTCTCCAGCTCCTGAACAGGTTTGTTAGGTGCTATTCAAACACAACCTACTCTCTAATAACTTGGGGCACATCTTCTTGACTATACATTGACCAACCAAACCTGGCAAAGAAGGCCAGAGTCTGTAGGGTGTGAATGCATCTGGCAACCTGGCCATACAGATTGCCCTGGTTCAACATGCTTGAACGGTAAACCTGAACTACCTATGGTGACTCTAGAGATTCTCCAAAGCTCCAATGGTGTCTTAAATCTGATGTCCCAAACTATGTCTGGAAAACAGCGTTTAGTAACCAAGGTTTGATGCCAATCATGGTCTGAATTGCTCAGCTTTGTAAGCAAATCAATACAAAACAAAAATAAAAACAAACAAAAAAAAAATCATATGACCAGTATGGTTAGAAAAAAGTGCTTAGCGATTGTACCACCAGGGTCCCCACATATGTAGATGTCGCATTTATATATTCCATTTAAATAAAAATTATGGAAAAAATCAAAACTGCTAACTCCATGCCTAGATAAACATACTACTTATGACGGTGTCTTTCTCCTCTATAGTTTTGCCACATTTGCCATATTTTCTGTGCCAAAATGCTCAAAGCCATGGCACCAAAGAAATTTCCATTTTCTTGAAAAATGCTAACGTGAAACCCTGAGTTTCAGAAAGTTTTTCTTCAATTGCTTTTTTAAAATGATTTTTTCCCCTTTTTTCTTGAATTTTCTGTACCACAAGGATTTTAGAAATAACTCTGAAAGTCACCTTCCAATATGAAGGAAATGCACTTTGTAAGTACTGATTATATAATTCCTTACCTCAGACAGACTCTTCTCCAAATTAGGTATGCCGTTCCACACATTCTCAGGATCTACGATCTCCTCTGTACCATTTGAAAGGTTCAAAACCTTTAAGAGAAGACAGAAACTATAATAAAAACCTGCAAGTTCTAAAAGCTAAAATACATACCCAATCTTTTTTTAGATTTTTTTAAATAGCATTCAGTTTATTACAAATATTTAGTATTGGCTTCCCATATTTCCCCCCTTTTGTTTTTATCATAATTATGTTATCATCTAGATGAGCATCAAATCTTTTTTTTTTAAAAAAGGGTGTTTTTAAAAAACAATGAAGATTTTTTTTTAAACTTCAAGTTTATGCTTCAATTCAGTACAACCAATGAATGCCTGGAGATCAAAGATGGATGAAATTTAGGTCTTACTTTAACAAAAATCTGGTGGAGAAAGAGTTCTTGAAGCAGGGTAACGCTAAAGAAATACAGACTTCCGTAAGAGGAAGCAGAAGAGTCTGATTCAGCCATAAAGCTCTATTGGTGGAGAAGGATAGGGATGAGAAGGTCTAAAGTAATGTTGTGTTGTCATTGAGTGAGAATCAACTCATAGCTGACCCTCCAGCAGGTTTTTAGAGGGAGTAAATCACACAAGAAGAGATTTCTCATCCTCCCATAAAGCAGCTGGTGGATTTGAACCATGTACCTCTGGGTTGGCAGTACAACTCCTTACCACTAAGCTAGAGCTCCCCACAGTAATGTAAGCTGCTTTAAAGATATGTGGGAGTTAACCTATTTGAGAGCAGGAGAGAATGACAAATGGTGCTGCATTACTAAAGACAATTAAGCAATCAAAGGGAATCCATGAGAGAACTCACAAAGTTGAATGTCTGTCTATTTAATACAAAATATAAGAAAGAAGATGGAAGGCTGAAGAGGTAGCTGGAGGCTCAAGAGGACCTATTACACCATGTGGTTAAGCTGGATATAAAAAAAAAATGAGCTGGACTTTTATACTGTAGACCACTGGTAGTCAAGTTTTAATGATATGAGCATATATATCCCTGGATCTTACCCCAGAAATTCTGAGTCAGCACTGCAGGGCAAAGACCAGGAATCTGTAATTTTAAAAACACACTTGGGAATTCTGGGATAGATGGTTTTCAGAACAAGAGTAAGAAACACAATTCAGTCCTTGGAAAGTGGTACACCAGGAAATTATGAGGTCAAATTTCCGTTGGAAAACTTGACACTGGCAGTGAGGAGCACGAGCTGAAGAAGACTGGATAAAAGTAATCTTTTAGAATAATCTAGCTGTGATGTGAGTGACTCATATAAGACAAGGACAAAAAAAAGGTTTGGTTTTGTTTTAATTTTACAACTAAGAGCTAAGAAGGGAAAAGTGTGGGGTTTGGTGACAGACAGGATTTCAGATAGGAAGAAGAATAAGGATTGGAAGCAGGAGTGGCATCCACTTCCATAATAGCTTGCCTCTGGAAACCTCATGAACCTGGAGAGAGGATGAAAGTCACACAAATGTTGAGGACTTTCCTTCATAGGGTTGCTATGAGTCACCTACGACTCAACAGCACTTAACAACAGTGGAGATTTATAAAATAAAAGGAATGTGGCTTGGAGATGCATGCTGAGGTTGCCTGGAACCTACAAGGCTTCACGAGATGATGAAACTGCCATTGTCCTTCCTGTCTTTGGCTGCATAGAATCTACTCTGGGATGAGTATGGCTTTAAAAAGGGAGCCCCGGTTGCCTCATCATAAGAAGCTGTGCTGCAGTCTCAAAGAGACATAGTACAAATCTACCAGCTGCCCCATGGGAGAGGGACAGGCAATCTCCTGTGCTATTTACTGCCTCTGAAAACCTGCTAGAGGGCCAGCTATGAATCAGTTCTAACAAGGCACAACAACCTGGCTTTGAAAAAGTTGTCTCCTCAAGGTCACTGATTGACTATGATTGCACTGGCTAGAGTCCCCCTGGATGGAACTTTGGCTTAAGGAGCATTGGGGTTACATTAATTGTACAATAAAATAATGGGGGAAATAGCAAAGATGGCTGCACGAATTGCAGAATGTAGTTAATGTTACTAAATTAACCACGGAGAAATTGAGATGAAATTTTCTGTATATTTTCACAAGAATAATAAAAATCTCCCTGGCCACAGACAAAAAAAAAAGAAGAAGACGGAGTCCAAGACAATTTCTTGCTCAAATGCTTAAATGTGGACTAGATTTCTGCACTGCATCAAATAACAGAGGGAATGGGCAAATAAACATCTGTTGAATTGCATTCTTTGCCCATCAAAGGCTGATAACATTTCCCTCACAGTCTGTAAGCACATTTTCAGTTGTTATGTGCCGTTGAGTTGCCTGCCACTCATAGTGACACATCCCTAAACTCTGCTCTACCCTGTGCCAACCTTATTGTCTCTGACACTAGATCTATCCCCATTACCCTAGTGAGTCAATCCATCTCATCCAGGGTCTTCCTCTTTTGTCCAGTCCCCCCTCCCAAGTCCTCTTCAAGGACTGATCCCTCTTTGCAGCATGCCCAAAGTATGTCAGATGGAGGTTCAGAATCTCTGTCTCTAAGGAACAGCCTGGTTTTACCCTCTCCAAGATGAACCTCTTTGTCCTCCTAGCAGTCCATGTTATATTCAATACTCGTCTCCAGCACCATTGCTCAAAGGTATCAATTATCCTTCTATCATCACTCATCATTGTCCAGCTTTCTGACACATAGCAAGTAATTGCAAAGACCATGGCCTTGATCACACACACCTTATTCTCCAGACTGACACTGTTGCTCTTCAGTACTATATTTTCATTTAGCATATTAAAATTTCACTTACCTTTGTCCCTCCTTCACCTGTTTCCAGTATCTCACACTTAGACCACATGTTTCTTAGACTTGACCACACAACACATTTGGATCCAACAGTAAATCCTTTTAGTGTATATGTGTTCTCTGGTTGGGCTGCTAGAGTGAACAAAGTGAATAAACAATCCATAACTTTTAATTTCTTAATACTAGGTACACAAGGGAAGCACTACAAATATTCCTATATAGTCAGTGCCACTGTTATGTGCTGTTGAGTTGGAACCAATTTAAGGGTGACTCATCAGCTGGATATCAGAGACAGTAAATCATATGTGAGGAGACAGTTCACCTTTCTCCTGAGGAGCATCTAGTGGATTTGAACCTCCTGGCTTTGGATTTGAACGTCCTGGCTTTGGGTTGGTAGTGCAAGTCCTTACCCATCAGGCCACCAGACCTCCCTATATAGTCAATATTATGTAATTAGTACACTGCTGTAGTATATAGAATTACATCTGTCCCTTTTTCTCAATTTTAATTTCAATTATTTCAGAGCTCCTGTCCACACAGTCCCTTACTGCTTTCCCTTAGAAACAGCACCATCACAAGGATGTAAACTTGATTTCTAATATGGAAAATGGCCACTGGAATAATTGCTACAAGTAATGTGATCTATTGTGCCACTAGCCACTCCTACAATGAAATAGCAGTAAGCAAGCCAATATTCTTAACACCAAGTCAGTTATTATTATTATTATGATGATGATGATGATGATGATGATGATGATGATGATGATGAAAATGTGAGAACTATCAAAGCTTGGGTGATAGTTCAATAAATTCTGGTATACCCACAGGTAAACTATGCAACTAAAATCTTTGTAAAGCCTATTTAAGAGATTAAAGTGTAGAACTCAATATTGTACAGTCTCTGTTTTTTAAAAAGCCAACAAAACATGCACACTCATGTTTATTGCTGTGTTATTCACAACCACAAAGAGATGGAAGCAATCCAAATGCCTATCAACAGATGTTGTTGGTGACTGCCTTCAAGTCGAGCATGACTCATAGCGACCATGTGAACAAAAGGCCCGAAGCCCCTCTACAACTATCAACATGTATCAAAGTTCATAGAGTTTCCAGAGGCATGTTGTTTAGGAAGCGGATGCCACTCCTGCTTCCAAATCAATAGATAGAAAAACAATGGTGCGTTCACACATCAGAATAGTACACAGCACTAAAAAAACTACGAGCTTGTAAAACATTATACAACATGGGTGAACGTGGAGGACATTATGCTGACAGAAATATCTCAGTCACAAAAGGACAAACACTGCATAACACTGCTATTATAAAATAGGGCAGACATGGGAGTGGTGGTTGGAGATAAAATGGGAGAAGAGTGGATAGATAATGAACACTGGATTAGAAGAGGTGAGGGGAAGAACTGTCCAAAACGAATATATGACTAGGCATTATATTTATGAAAGAATCTGGAACAATGCATGGGTTGGAGGAGGGTTAGAAAATGTTCAACAATGAAAAAAGTATTATAAAAGGACAAACAAAAATATTTAAAGAAAAACAAACCACAACTTATATAGATAGACAGCCTTCTGTGGAAGAAGCCCTGGTGGTACAGATATTAAAGTACTTGAAAGGTTGGCAGCTCAAACTCACCAGCTGCTCTGCTGAAAGATATGACTGTGAGCTTGCAGAAAGTAAGGGCCTGTCAATCCTACAGGACAGCTTTACTAGCAGTCAGAATCAACATGAGAACAATGAATTGTTAACAAGGGGTAAACAGTGTTATACAGTGAAATGGCTCTGGAGGTCTAGTGGCAAGAAGCTGTGCTGCAATCCCGGACACCAGCTGCTCCACCAGCTGCTCCATGGGAGAAGGATGGGCAATCTCCTTCCATGTGATTAACTGCCTTTGAAAACCCGCTGGAGGGTCAGCTATAGATCAATTCCAACTCTATGGTACACAACAACAACAACAAAATACATGAAAAAATGATTACAGTGCTTTCCATTCTCCTTATTCTATTTAAAAAATTTTGTACAATTACTTGAATTTAGAAACAAAAAAACTGACCTTTAAAAAGTCTTAACACTGGTTACAAAAAACTAATCCAACCACCCTGAAAGTTGACCATTTAATGTCATTTAAAATTTTTTAAAGTATCAAAGAAAATAAAAAGAACAAAAATACATTAAAGATCACATTTTTATGAAATATCCACTGCTGTCAAGTTCTCTCCTCATTCACAGTGACTCCATTTCAGGTTTCTAAGGATGTAAATTTCAACAGTGGTTGGTGAGTCTGTCAATCTTTCATTAGGAGCCTGACAGACAACACACTATACTACCAGGGTTCCTTTTCTCTATCCTTCTAATCTTTTGTTTAAGCTAACAGAATGAAACAGAACTGTTAGATCTACTAAAATGAACTCGAATAAAAGTTCATGTCTAAATCTCTCATTCATTCATGCACGGCCACTGGATAAGAACCAACTCAAAGTTGATGCTACTTCATTGAGCTTCAAGACTGTAAATCGTATGGCATCTTTTACCCTCCAAGAGTCACTGGTGGATTCAAACTGTTAATGAGCTTTGGCATCTGGGTTATCTTCAAACACCCTAGGGACTACACTATCAGAGTTCCTAATGCTTCAACTATAGTTGGCAAAGAAATACTACAGTTTCTAACTTATAAAACTTATTTTGATTGTTGCTGCTTGTTATGTGCCATCAAGTCACTTGCGACTCAGAGCGACCCTATGTACAAGAGCCCTAAATGCTGCTCTATCCTGTGTCAATCTCGCCATCTCCGACACGCTCACTCCCACCACCCCAATCACAGAATCAATCCATCTCATCGAGGGTCTTCCTCTCCTGCGCTGCAAGATTCTTTTTATTTTAATTGTGATTGCTTTGGGGAACTTACAAGTTTGATGCATCCAACTTTCAAGCATGACATGAACACATTCAGCATTTCATTCACTATATAAAAGTTACAGCTTACATTTATTTCACAAGATATTCCCCCCTAATGTTTAAAACCCAAATCTGATTCACTCCCCAAGTTTCAGCCTTTCTCCTCCTCAAAAGTAATTTTTAAAAATTTCAGATAAGTTTCCCTTTTGTTCCTAAAGCAAGTTATTACTGAATGGTGTTAACTCAAACAGAACCCTTTCAAACCTAATGACGAGTTCTGGTGGCATAGTGTGTTACGTGTTATGCTGCTAATCAAAAAGTCCAAAGTTTGAAGCCACCAAGTGCTCTGTGAGAGAGAGATGGGCAGTATCCTACCATAAGGATTTGCATCCCCAGAAACTCAATGGTGGGACCTACCAATCAGAATTGAATCAATGGCTATGGACATCATAGAAGATCAAATTATCCTCTGCTTTCAGTCTTTTGTTTAAACCCTGTGTTTTCAGATGCCCTTAAATTTAGAACTGACCAATAGGTGACCCTCCAGTGGGTTTTCAGAAGCAGTAAATCACATGTGAGAAGATTATCCATCCTGTTCCCATGGAGCATCTGGTGGATTTGAACCAGGTGCCTTTGGGATTGCAGTGCAACTTTTTACCATTAGGCCACCAAAGCCCTATGCTTCCAGTAGTGGAATGCATTTTGAATGAAATAGGGAAAATTTTTTAAAACAGGCAGAGTTAATACACCTCTTAGGCACATATGTCTGTTCCTGGAGTTGTTGGGATGAAGCCCATTTCTCCAGCTTCAGGCACTTATACAGGCTACTACTAGGAAGAATCATATACTAAAAGTGGGATAGGCTTCCCACTAAGTCCCAAAACATGGTTGGGTCACTCTACATATCACAGATTGTGAACAGGCTAAATAAAGTGATTGGAAAAAAAGAATTCCACATACCTGAGATAGGATCCAGTAAAATATTATTGTGCTTTCTTTCATCTCCAGATTCTTCTTCAGAGAACAAAGAAGTCAGTGGTGAAATTATATCCCTGTTTTTATATCCTGCCAATTCTTTAAATATACTCATTTCACTTGGCAGTTTGAGACTGTCATTCTTTCCATGGAGATCGAACAGGATGCTGGGCTGCTCATCAAAACACCCTGCGTAACTGGACATTCTGGGGACTTCAGCGTATGCAGACTCTTGGGCTTTCTGACTAAGTCTTAGAGACAAAGCATTTATTTTATCCTCTAGGGACAGCTGGGCTGCAGCGAATGTCAATTCCAGATGTTTCTCTGCATTAGCCTGGGGTGGAAACTGCTCTAGAAATGGATCCATGGTGGCTTCTGTGTCACAGCCTTGGGAGAAAAGTGGAGGCATCAGGCTGAATTCATCTTTCCTTTCCTTCCCAAATAGAGAAAGCTGTGACTCAATGGATTCGAGCTCTAATAAGTCCTTCGACTCACTATGTGGAGAAAGGAGTACTGGAGGTGAATTTACTTTCTGTATCTCTTCTGGTTCATTTGCACATGGGGCCAGCTCGTTATGTGCATTACTTAGATTTTTACCGAACGTTGTTTCGTCTATCAAAGGGGACTCTAGTTTATCTTCCAAGACCTTACTACCAAGCTCCTCTTCTGAATTTTCAAAGGCTTCAAAAATAGGTTTTGTTTCATGATCATAGGATTCCAGTGATTTGATTTCAATAATGTCTAAATCCTTTTCCATTTTTTCAGGAATCTCATCTACCTGCCGTTCCACCATTACTGTTTCATCCTTTTCTGCTTCATTACTTTGGTTCTTATGTTCACCGTCGAGGCTGGGCAACTCACAGCTTCGCTGTGTTTCTGAATCACTTTTTTCACAGGGTGGGTCACTTGTAGGCACACCACTCTTAGAGTACTTTTTCATTTTCTCATTAATACTTTCACCCTTGCTTTTCAAGTCAACGATTGCTAATGGGATATCACAGACATCCTTTTTAAGCTCTAGGATGGTTAGATCCAACACTTCTTCAGTTACTATTTCAAAAAAATAGTCATTTCCTTCTGGAGAACACACTCCTTCTGAAATGTTAAATCCTGAGAGGCAACATGGGAAGGCTTGTATGGGGAAGAGAAGTTCAGGAGGAATACTGCAGAGTGTTTTTGGGTCCACACAGTCTTCAAGGTTTCCAAAGTCTACCAGCCTGACAGATACTAGATAATCTTCACAAATATTAGTGATAAGAGCCCTATAGAACTTCCCATCTTCTCTGTACTTGACAATGCAGGGATCTCCTACATGTGGATATGTAATGTTATTTCCCCACTTTGTTCCTATTTCTCCAGCAGTCTGGACTTCCCCTTCTAAATACTGAAGTTTTTCAGTATTGGCAAACTGACACCAAAAGTATTCAGGTCCATTTATAACAGATGCGTAAACTCTCACCGTCTTCATATCTGGATTATACCAGTTAAGAAATACTGACGTATCAACGTCTGATCTATTAACAGACTTTGCATGAGCACCTTTAATTACTTGGGTAGAAAATCCTTCTTGAGATTTTTCAGTGAAACTAAATCTGCTGATCATATCTTCTGCTATGTTCCCATGTTCATCAGCAAGAACCACTTCCCATCTATCTTGAAATGTAACAAACTCACATTGTATTTGAGCCTCACATGTCCTTTGGGAAAAGTAATGTGTCATTTCCTCGTGGTTTATCATCTCAGGAGTCCAAAGGCCCCTTAATGAACAGTGAATGCACAATCCTGGTAACATTGCATTAACTGGGTTGAGGCTACCTATTTTGTTAGTAGCAATCACAGAATCATTGCCGTAATCTATAAACTGTACAGATAAAAGGTCATTATGTTTTTTCTCCTTGACCATAGCTCGATACCATAAATTGTCTTCTGGAAAAACAGCACATATTACATCCCCTCTTTGCAAAGGTGGACCTGCATAATACTCAGGCCTTGTTCTCACACCATTCAGTCTTTCCGAAAGGCAATTAATTTCAGCTTCATCTTCTAACAGTTGAACATAAAAGTCTAAAAAGTCATTTATGTGAGAAACATAAATGGTTGTTCTAAAGCCAGGTTTTATAGTCTTCTGAGGGAAATCAGAAAATTTGATAGGCAAATCTTTATGAGAGTCTCTTGGCATTTTCTCAGATGCAGTGAAGTCTAGTTTGGGGCCCTTTAAAGGTGACTTAGCAAAAGTTCTCTCCTTTTCTGTTTTTGATGGAGACACTTCATTGCTTTTATTTCCCACAGAGTTCTGGGATGGAAAGTGTGCCTTTATGGAACTCTGTGAAAACGGGTGTGGCTTAAATGATGACCTGGTTTTAGATGTGTGTAAGTCTCCCGAGATCTCCTGACTGCAAAATTTGTCCTCTGCCAACTTACTCAAATATTTTCTAGGTGACCTCATATTTTCTTTATCTTCTTCAGGAGGCTCTGTTGTAAAGAGAAGTATTTTACTTTCTTCTTTCTTTCTCTCCTTGTCTTTGTAACCCAGAAGCCCTAGCTTTTCATTTACACGGGCATTAATTTGAACAGTGCCGTCATACAGTTCTATAACGAGTCTTCCATCAGGATCTTTTGCCACCACTAGTGCCTTCAAGGATTTGTCTAAAACCATCTCCTGAAACCACTCTGTGACTGCTTTTGGTATATCACTAGGAATATCAGACAATGAACATTTAACAGCTTGCATGGGATAGAGTAAGACATCATATGCATCACTAGGTATGGGAAGCACATCATCACAGGCTACCACACAAACATTCCCAAAATCAACAAAGAAGATCTTGTTTGGGTCTTTTTCTATTACTGTCCCTCTGTACCAGTTTTCATCAGTATACCTGGCAAGACACAAGGTTCCACAGCCCACGGGGGATGTTTTTAAATTCAGTAAAACTTTACTTAACTGTATAATGTTACATGACAACTGTTCTATAAGATTTGCATTTCTTGCCAGTTGACAATAAAAGGTCCAGGGGTCATCAACATGAGTTATATATACCAATTCCTCACTTCCGATTTTCATATCATGTGTAGAATAATAGTAGGAATGCAGCTGAACAGCAGGATCTAGAGGCTTCTGAAGTTTTACTGGTCTTGCAAAGCCCTTTTCGACCAAAGTATGGCATGCACTCTGAAAGGGTGTTAGCAGATCCACAACATTAAAGAATTCTTCATCGCCCATGGATGCCAAAGCAAATATTGTACATTTTAGTTCTAGACTACTTTCACATGTATTATATATAAACTCATTAAACTCTTGTATTGCCTTCTCATCCCAAACAAAGGGATTCTGACCAGTTGGCTGAATTAAATTATAAAGACTGCACCTAAAAGCCTGAGTCTTAACTGTAAGGAATTCTTCACTGATTGAATAAATACTCTTCAAAGGTACCGTATCTTTGTTTCCATAATCGACAAACATTACTTTGACGTGTTCTGCAGATTGTGTCTCACTAATCAAAGCCCTGGCCCATTTTCCATTTACTGTCCGTTTTGCCAAACAAGCTGGGGTCGTTCCCCGATAAGGTGCAGCTATATTTTTGCAATAGTCCTGAATATTACTCATTAGTATTCTAAATTCTTGCATGTTCTTAGTCAGCTGGCACCAGAAATAACCAGGGCTTTCAACGTAAGACACTCTGACTTCCACTGTGCTTCCAACTTCTAGATCTCCTTTACAAGGAGAGCCTAGCTTGATTTGCAAGAAATTCGGTGTAAGTGGAGTAAAAACCAATGATCTTTCCTCTTTTCCCTGCCATATAAATCCAGCCGAAACATTTCCAACCATTGGTATGCCAGGCAAAGCTTCTGAAACAAACGCAGTTTTAGAATCTCTATCTGTTTTCAGGTCTACTTTCTTAATAGCAGATATTTTGTTATTTGCTGCAGTAAAATGGCTTGGGGAATACAGACTGACTGGGATATTATCCTTTGCTTCAAATTCCTCATATTTAGCATATCCAGCTTGAGCAATGACCTTACTAATATTTTCTTCCCCTGCTCTCGATTCATCAAGAATCTCAATAACATACTGATGATGGTCCAGCTTATCAAGAACATGGATCACTAATTCTTTGTGGAGCACAGTCTTGTTAAAAAAGGAAATTGCCTCCTGGCTCCAACTTGTCCCCAAAGGCCAGATATCAGCTAGAGTGCATTTCAGAGCCAATATGGGGAGCCGCCTAAACTGAGGCAGCAACATCCGGACATCATACCAGTCCACATTTTCTGAATTGCCTCGGTCAACCAAGAATACATCTACGCTTCTGTCATCTAATCGGGTGACGATGGCCCTATAATAGCCATTTTCTTTCCACTTGACACAGCACAGATCGTCAGGTTCGGGTTTCAGAACTACACCATCCAGTTTAGCAGCTGAGGAATAGAAACTGCACATTTTTCTCATCAGCTTGTTGAAGGTGCTAGTGTGTTTCCTCAACCTAATCCAAAACTCAGAAGGACTTTTAATAAACTCTACCTGGGCATCGTAGAAGGCATTCATCTTCAACCTGATAGATCGTAAGGCTGAGGATGACATCTCTGCCTCCATCTCTTCAGAAGGAGATTGAGCTTCAAGAGCATCAGGCTCTTCCTCCTCCTCCTCCTCATCTCTTCCCTGGTCCTGTAGGAATCTGTCAGCCAGGCAACACAAGCGGACTCCAAACACGCTGTTTAGATTCTTTCCGTCTTCTCCATACAGCGTGACATAGTACACATGCTCAAAGGAACAGTAAAACTCAATCTTGGCATTCACTGCCTGGCCCAGGATCAGCGCTTTCAGGTCACCGACCTGGGACCTCGACCAGCCTCTCCCGCCATCCCAGAGTCCATACAGAGCACAAGGGTAGGTCACCACTGGCATTCGGAAATATTCTGGCAGCAAGTACTTGAGACTGCTGCAACTCACTAATTCCTTCCTTCCGTAGTCTACGTGAAGCACCTGGGCACAGCGCTGAGGCCGGAATGTTTCCAGCAGCAGCGCCCTGTACCAACGTCCATCCAACCCACACGAGGCGCACGGTGCGCCTGGCTTGTCTGGGCTCTCTTCTTTGTCCTCCTTCTCCTCCCAGTTGGCGCTGATCGGGTTCTCTTCCCCAGACCCGGCTGACCCCCTGTACACCTGGGCCATGCTGTCAGAGAGCCGGAGGATCTCCTGCGACAGGCTCCGGAGCTGGCAATGGATGCGATGGGGATGGCACACCTGGGTCACCACCACGGGCTCCGTGACGCCCAGCTGCAGCTGTGGGTAGAAGTAATCGAGCCCAGGCTGCTGTTGCTTGGGCAGGACTCGAGGCAGGACAGGGCCCCCAGGCTCCAGGCCCCTGGTCAGAGAGTTGAGATGGCGCTTGAGCAGCGAGCGGAAGAGGGGCTCGGGCACCTGGCGGGCCAGGCCGAGCTCCTGCATGCGCTGTAACAGATCGGGTACCTCCAGAAGGACTAGGCGACGAGTGAGCAACACGTCCAGGACGCGCCCTTGCAGTTCTTTGCCCTGTAGGTTGCTAAGGAAGTCGGTGGCGCTGGGCGGCCAGTGCTGGGGCTCACCACCGCCCGCGCCGCCGTCGCCCGCCGGCACCAGGCCAGCCAGGACGCAGCACAGCACCTCCGAGGGCAGGTAGAAGAACTCCCTGCGCCCAGGCGCCAGCGAGCCGGCGCCCGCCGTGATGGTGCGGCCCTCGTCGAGCAGGAAGACGCGGCTCTCCTGCGCCTGCTGGCTGACGACGCGGCAGCGGTGCCACAGCAGCCCCATCTGCACCAGGCACAGCTCGCCCGGCGATGCCGAAGCGCCTCCCAGCGCCCACGGGCCGCGCGTGGCCGCCGCCTCCTGGATCTCCCGGCTGAGCCGCACGTATTCCTGCCGCCGCTCGCCCAACAGCCCCCAGAGCTGCACAGGGATCACCTCGGGTTGCACGTCTACGAAGGACACCCGCACGGTGAGCAAGGAGCCTGGCGTCGGCAGTCTCGGCGTCGAGCACATGTCTGAAGAGTGGCGGACCCGTAAACTCCGCGCACACGGGAACAGGAAGCGCCCGGTCTGCCTTGCAGCGACTGGTGAGACCCCCGGCGGCCCGACCAACCGCTCACAGTTGCGCCGCCACGCAGGTATTTACGGCGCGTGGCGTCTGGCTTCCGGCCGGAAGCGGGCTGGGGCGAGTATGGGTGGGGTGCCGGGAGCCTGCGCGAGGGTTGGGGTTGGGTAGGAGCTCAGAGGGTTTGGAAAAATGAGGTGGCTTAACTCAACTTCTCCAAGCGCCTTTGACCCTGTGGACCAAAGGAGAAAGCAAGCTTTCCCTCTCGTTGGTGCAACTACGAGTCAGTGAGCACTGCGTGCAAGACGCGGTGCTGGCTAGACATTGTAGAGTTCAAATAGTGATGAGAAATACAGGTGTCTTGTTAGCTTTTTATGAGAAGATAGGACTTAAGGGTTCAAAGAATGACAGCCAGAGCTCATCAGATCCAGCTAGAGCAGAGCAGGTGCAATCTCCCTCTGCTAGTGGGGCTGCATGCAGTAAAGGGTATTTGTTTAGCCTAGCATATTTGTGACAGGAGCACTGACTATGTTAATCAATAGTTATTATGAAGATTGAAATAAAATATGAGGGTAGCTGAGTTGACCTTATATACAGAATAGAACTATTATGTTGTCGGGTCCTCTGTCATCCTCACGTTGACTCCATCATTGCAGATATTGGGCCAACCTATTAGCCCTTAATCCTGCTGGCCCTTTGCTTCATGGCACAGAGAAGAATTCATCCTGTGTCCTTACTGTTCTGTTGTGAAAATCCTTAAGGTTTTCAGTAGCTAATTTTTGGAAGTTCATCACCATCCTTTTCTTCCTAGTCTTCGTTTGGAAGTGTCACTGAAACCTGTCCACCCTCGCAGTATTTTTCAGCATAGTTTACAGCATTACAGCAACTTGCAAGCCACCACAGCACAACAGATTGATAGCCTAGTAGTAGATGAGTATATATTTCATTCTCCATAATTGCCTGGTATTGGTTCTCCAGTCTTTAATGCCCTTTAGTAAAATATCCTCCATGTCGCTTCAAGTGTATTTCACATCTCCTGTTAAGTTTATCCTGAGATGTTCGTGTAATATTTTAGTAATGCTTCATTGAGTGGTATATATAATTTGGGGTTGGGTTTTTTTTTCCCAGTTGACTTTATGGTGCATAGGGAAGATCTTGATTTGCTTAATCAGCTATTGTTTGCCACATAGACAGAACCCACTCATAGCTGGCCCCCCAGCAGGTTTTCAGAGGTAGTAGTAAATTACAAGGGAGGAGACTGCCTGCCTTTCTCCCTCAGAGCAGCTGGTTGAGTCAAACAGTAAGCCTTTGGGTTGGCAGCACAGCTTCTTACCACGAGGCCACAAGAGTTACCCATCAGTTCTTTTTCTTAGAATTTCAATATGGATTATGACACATTATAAACATGTGTGCACTTAATCCTTGAACTTTTCTACTTAAAATGCTTTTCAGTAGTATCTGCTAACTTTTGACCTTTTAATTGATCACATTATTTTTCTTTTCCAATGTTGTAGTTTATAAGTGTTATTTCCATGCCTTTTATAGTCTCCAAACATGCTTTACTAGAACTTCCTTTCTTTTTTAAAACAGCATAGAGCCACTCTGTACCTACATCTTACTAAATATGCTTTTATTTGGGCCATTCTTCTCACCTAGCTCCACATGAATTGATTTTGAAAATTTAAAACGTGTGTAATAGATAATTGGTATCCTGATAAATAATGCTTGTTTAAATAGGTTTTACTGAAATCTTAATTAACAGCTATTTTCATCTTTGATTTTTAGTCCCTTTTTCTTTTTGCTAGCTCCATATGCCAGAATTACTTTGTTGTTGTGTGCTGTCAAGTCAGAACCGACCCACAGCTGACCCACCAGAAGCAGTAAATCACATGGGAGGAGACTGCCCATTCTTCTCCCACTGAGCAACTAGTGAATTTGAACTGTGTGCTTTTGGGACTGCGGCACAGCTCTTTACCACTGGTCCACTCGCTTAACTCAGAATTTTCTGAGTTTTTAATTTCTGAAACTATCAGCTGTGAAAAATAAAGATCAAAAATTTTTAAATCATCTCTAATTTAGATATTAACATTTTCACTCAAGACTACAACTAGGAAAAACAAAACCCTTAACAACCAATTAGGCTTTTGAAAATGTTTATTTTAGAAATCAGAAGAGCACATTATATTTACTCACATATATTCTTGTTTGTTAGCAGATATTTTCAGCAAACAGACCTCTTTTAAGCATCTTCATCAGCTTTTAGCAAGCCTTCAAAGGGGCTCCCGCTGCTGTTGATAATCACAGCAGCCTGCTGAGGGCAGAGTATGGGGAGAGAAAAATGATCATGTATTCCTCACAGCTCAGAGAAAAGGAGGTGCTTGAGTGGGTAACTGTGCATTAGTAAGGTATCACTGCAGGCCAACATAGCAAAGTCATTTCCATACAGCATTGAAAATGAAGCACAGCACATATTTAGTAAAAATGACTCAACAAGTTTATGTACATATATTGTGTAAATTTTGTTATTTTAAACTACCAAATTCCAGATGTTTTGTGGAACAGCTATTAAACTGATAAAGATAATACTTCTTCAGAGTATCATAATGGCATGTATATAATAAGTACATATAATCTTCATAAAAATACAGTTAAGCACATTGTATGGTGTTAACCAAACCACTGCCATTGAGTTGATACCTACTTGTAGCAGCCCACCAGGGTTACAAGACGGGGAGTGTTTATGAGAAGAGGCTGCCTCATCTTGTAGGTAGTGGAGTCAAACCACTGACCTTCTGATTTACAGCATAACACTTAACATTATGCCACCAGGACTCCTTAACATAGTAAAAGATCTTATGAAATCAGAAATGGTATTCATTTTTTACTATAATAAATCATCTGCTTATTTTAAAAGAAAACAACATACAACCTGATCATATGTGTATAAATAGTTTTCTTTCTTCGCTCCCCTCAAAAAAAGATTGTGTACCAATGCAGGAGTTTTTCCTTTGCTTTTCAAGGAGAGAAGAGAACTGGGGGTGGGTGTGGGGGTGAGTGGGTTGGGAGAAAAGTGCATCATGAATGAATGGAATTACAAAATCTCTGTAGATGTTCATTGAAATTAATAATAA